AAGACGTTTTCGTATTTCCCACAATTAGAAGTTGCCAGTATTAAACTGTGTACACCCTGGAGGTTTAGGGGATACAAAACACAGTGGTGTTAATTAATATACCCGCATGACACCTAAGGTCAGAAGAGCTTTATTTAACAGCTGGTCTTATGTCTGTGACCCCTCCTGTTGTTAATTGATAAGCCTGAAACATGCACTTGTCAAGGTTCAGAGGCAAATTTTGCAAATATGGCAGTAGCCATCGATCATCTTAAGATAAGATAAGATATACTTTATTGATCCCAAGTTGGAAAATGTTTTTGTTACAGCAGCATGTACAACATGCAATTCACTGTTACTTTGTAATTCTACTCCACTACAGTTCAGAGGTTAACATGGTATTTTTACTCCACTACATTTATTTTAGTTACTTGGCAGATTCTGATTAATGATGTGAAATATATACAACCCTTAAAGCAGACTTTAGTTACAGTGATTGTCAAGTACCAAAATAAACTATGCAATATATTAGACGTTAAGTACTTTGTCAGCCTTAATATTTATCTCTAGATACCCCCAAAGTTTTGTTCTTATTCAAAAGAAGACCTTAACTTACAGTATTCTTTAATATTTAAATAAAACCTTATTAGTTTGTCTGTTTTGCACATCCTCCTATTAATATCTTTGGACGTCCTGCACTAAACTGTTTCATTGTAGAGAATTCAATAACGTGCTTTAATGGTGGTGCGGGTTAAAAAACTGTCAAGTTTACAGTGTTAACACAATAAATTATACTTTATGAAGATGTTACAAATAACACACAGCATACAATGGCATAATGACTTTGTATTATTAGTGTAGGACACTTATGTATGTATAACATCTGAAGATGTGCAGTTTTATTCATGTTTTCACATAATTCTACAGGATATCGCTATATTATTTCACATATTGTAGTTCTACACATTAATATCTGAGGTATATCCATCATTTAATGGTAAGCTATTGAAATTCTGAGTGCTTCTATAGATGTGACTCCCATCACCCAAAACCCCTGAATATTCTCTCAACTCAGTATTTACATTCTTTAATTCAAAGAAAATCAGTAATATCTTTAAAAACTACAAGTCCCTTTCTATCAGCTGTGCACCTTTATGGTGTAAATACAGCCTATCTACCAATTGGATCAAATATAAAAGTCAGCCAAATTACTATTGATACTGCAAAGAGACGTATTGTGCGAAGAGAAATTGAAGATGTTGTTTAATTGCTGATATATTTATGATCCACGTCACGTATTCAGTTTTCGGCGGGATTTCTTCCAGTTTGTCTAGAAGTCTTCTAATCAGGGCTCTATAAATAGAGAACTACGGCAGATGTGTAATATTTAATGCACCCGAACCGTGTTTTACAATGCTGTTATGTGATGACTTCCAAAGAGAAAAGCAAGCACACTCGGAATAAAGTATTATTATTATTATTTTTTATGTTTTCGGATTTCACATCGCATAAACACCATATCCCAACGTGCATTTTTGCTAAAACATCCAATCACCAAGTTTCAACTATATCTGAGGATTATGGGTAGTTCGAAAACCAATTAATGTCATGTAATTAACAAGGATAAACTGATGTGTTTTAGTGGATGAGTATGGCAGATATCACTGTGAAATCATTTGTCAGTGAGGGGAATACGGTTTTATTATGAAAACTTCGAGACCGGAAATACTGTTTTCACCCGGTGAGGGTTGACGCTAACTTTTCATAGGGGCAAAGACATACACGTTCTCCTAGCAAGACCTCAAATAATCTTCGTAATATCTATCAAACTATAGATCCTACACATCCACTGGACGTGTATTCTAAAAGTACAATATCTACACTTCTCGCTAGAAATCTAATCAAAAAGCATTTTAATGGCCAAACTATTCAAGAATTTACGATTTTCCAGAGAGGGTTATTTGTGAATACACGACCCTCCGGAGCGTTTGTAATTGCCACAAATTGTTGTTTCTTACACGACTACTAGAGGTGCTAAACTTTAAAACGTGACTATAGGTCGTAATAAGCTGCTGAACAATCGACCTATTTGGTCGTATGAGTTGGAGGACTTGTTGCTCTATTAATACTCTTTATTTTCTTCACTGTATTCAGACGCAATACATTCAGTATGTGCACCTTGTCTAATATTGTATGCCTTGTCACTTTTATACTGTGTTGTGACAGTTGAGGTTGGTGGCCTTGTGAGGTCAGTAGAGGAATAAGGGCCCTGTGGGGACATCCGTTATAGTGATCAACAGCCATTCTGACAGATAACTATAATGATGCACCAATATTACTCCATAGCAACACACACACTCACTCTTTTCTCACACAAATTCTCAATTAAGTCTTTGTGAACATGGTTTAAGGCGATTTGTTGCATGCATTTCACTTGGAGTTCACAACACTCATGCTACAGTGGGGCAAACCACTAGACTCGAGGGCCAGTGACTTCCCGTGTGCACTCACAACAATTTCCAATTAAGGATTTGCAAGGCATTACCGTGGTGAGGCCTTTTTGCAGACATCATACGGGTTTCAGGTTACATCAAGATTCAAATCACTTATTGAGCTACAGAGCACACAGATAAAATAGAAACAGAATGATGATCCAAGTCAAAGTTGTGTCTTTGCATTAATCCGGCGCAAACTGTAATTTCTAAGGCTGCAATGGCTGTTTTGTACCATAACCCTAATTCTATTCCTTCTTTTCTGCGAAGGAGTTATGCTTCTGCAACAGGACTTCTGGCCCTTTATGAAAAAACAAAAGATAGATAGCTGTTTTAAGTTAATAAATATGTGTTACTCTGTATAGCTGCAAGCTAAACATTTTGAAAAAAATTGTAATGCCCAAAATAACTTTTTTTGCATCTTTTGTTTCGATCATATAATCATGGTCTAATAGCATTGGCGACACTACTTTCGGTTGATGCTCTGTTATTTGGAGTGTGCACCTTGAGTGGTACTGCCATTGTTGTGTGAGATCATAAAACAGGTTTTTAAGTAAGAGGTCGATCAAATCTTAAATTTCCAAGTTCCTGTAAAGTAAAATTGTTCTCCAGTATGGGTTGAGTCCAAAAACACAAATAATTTCTCATAATGAAGCTCAAAATTGTCCTTTAGACTGGCAAATAAAAACATTTCTTCATTTTCTACAACTTCTGTTTGATTAGTTCTGTCAATAAATGTATTTTTACTCTTCAAACCAACAAGGGGAAAAAACCCAGATGAGAGAAAAATTACATCATCATTTGTCAGACTCCGTAAATCAGCCCCAAAGCTACAGGTGACATACAACCGTTTTTACAATAAATACTCAAAAAAAACTGATTTTCATGCGAAAAATATGTAGAGTGCTCCTTTAAGGTCATGCTAATGTTAGCAAAGATAGCACGCATTGATTTGTCTTTGCTTTGCAATTGTCTTTTTTACAAGGAGACATAATAATCAATAAGCAAAAATTACTCACTGTTCCATAACAATTGCACATAATAGCACATAACTAACTATTGGCCTTACTACATGAGAGGTTATTGAACTTCTTCCAGGAATCACTCTGCTCTGTGTACACTGTTTCTCTTGTATTTTCAGCGTCGTATTGCCAAGGCAGGCAGATATTTCACCTTGAGGAATTTGTCCTTTAGCTTCTGCCAGCTCTGTGCCACTCAGCACTTTTTTCCCCCTAGACTCCAGAAATCATTATCAGCCACTGTGGGGTATTTAAACAGCAGCCAAGTTGGTACTTTGATATTCCTCCTCCTCTCTGACACCCTTAACTCTCCCTGATCTCACTGGGAACAGATCAGCGAGACGGGAAAGATTTGGAGGTAATTTGTCGTCTTAAGAGGTGCACGTGTGTTGCAACGCTACATCGCACACTGATATCTGAACATGGTTCATTTGAGTCCAATATGTTCAACTTATAGAACGTTAAAAATAATCAGATAATCTGTTCCCTTTACTTTCTCCCTCATCCACCGAGCCAACCCACATTCCTCTCGAGACGCCAGAAAAAATCAATAATCCTGTAAATTTTGCAACAGTCAGAACGAGGAAGAGTATCTCTGTTTTCTCAATAAAATAAATTTGTTCGACTGAAATCGCCTTTAACACTTTTGTTGATTTTCCTTATTTATTTATTTTTAACAGTTTTTACAGAGATGGTGTCGTGAGTTCATGTAAGACTTTGACTGTATAAGATTATTCAAAATGTCAGCTGGTGAATTTAAAGGTATAACATGTAACATTTCTGCATTCAAATGGCTGAACACAATTAGAAATATCTTTATACCTATACAATTTGGCAAACTTTAGCTAGAATCTGTTATAAATTGGATCTTATCTAGTTTCAAACCACATTTTTACGATAAATGATTTAGATCTGGAATGTTTCCAACTTTACATTTTAAAAACATAATCTGACTTCTGGATCTAATCATAAAAACAAGCCAACTACATTTTAGCCATTAGCTCACAGCCCCTGTGTTACTCGGGGAAACATATATTTTGTACTTGAAGGTGCTCTGTTTGTTATGGAAAGGAGGAGAACGCTGTGGATAATTCGGCTCCCCTTTCAAACCTTTCGAACAATGAACACTGAACGAATCCTAACCCCAGAGAAGCTAACTGCAATGACCTTTTGGTGAAGACAACAACTCCCATGATCCAGGCTTCATCACAAAGTAACCAAACTTTGTCGTTGGATATTGTTTTAATCGAGAAACTCCTAGATACAGTTAAAAAAATAAAATTGCGTGTATAAGGGTATGTGCGCATGAGAACGTTTCTGAATACATTTGAAAATTGAGACATAGATTGACCCCATGCACTCACACACACACACCTACCATTCATGCCATTGTAGATGCCCCGATGGTTTGGCGACAGCTCGTCTCCAGCCGGCCTCCTCTGCCCGTCTCTCACCGGGCTGCCGAACTTCACATGGTCGGGGCTCAGACTATACTGGTGCCTATGAGTTTCAGGGCTGCCCCCCTGGACCACGCATCCCTTTTCATGGTGCTCTGGGGCCCCTAAATGGGCCTGCCTGGGCTCTGGGCTCCCGCAGCCCAAACTGCTGATGCTGCTCCTGTGGTGCCTCTGATAGAGCTCCCCGCTGCCCCCCTGACCCAGGAAGTGCTGCCTCTGGCCCAGGAGCAGGTCAGAGGTGTGGTGCTTGGGGTGCTGCTCCGGACTGCGTCGGCCCACGTTCCGCCCGTATTTTTCCGGGCTGAGGCCCCGCATGACTCGACTGTGGTCAGGCACGGATATGGAGCCGCAGCGGGGGCGACAGAGCTGGGGCAGGGTGTACGGGTACTCCAGGCTGGTACTCCTATGGCGTCCTGCAGGGTGCTCAGGGCTGGACACATCTCTGTCTCCCCCGCCTCCTATTCCACTGATGCTGCTACACCTGGGTTTGTGCACCAGGTCCGGGCTCCCTTTCTCTCCACCGCTCCCAACCCCACCCACCCCTGGAGCCAGGTGAGGCTGCTTGTGGTGAAGGTGATCCGAGCTGTCAGCACTTCCTGCACTGGAGGTGCTGCTCCCGTCCCCCACGTCTCTCATCAGGAGCCCCTGCCCGGGCACCAGCAGTAGACTACTCTGGCTGTCGATGGAGTTGCGGCACCCTCCCATCCCTACACTCCCTCCCCCTATGCTTCCTCCTCCGCCACCGCCACCGCCACTTCCTCCACCTACCACCCTCTTCTCCTCGTCAAGCAGCAGGCAGAGCTCCTTCAGCTCCAAATTCTCCCGGATGACCTCCTCCTGCCGAAGCTCCAGCTCCTTGAGTTTCTGGAGGTAGAGGGACACCTCTTTGCGCATGATGCTGGCGCTGTAGCGTCCTAAGCGCTGCCACTCCCTTGATACACGCTTGCCTTTCTGGCGGTCATCATCCAGGAAGCAGCACAAGTCCCGCAGCTCGCGGTTGTCCTCCTGCAGCTTCTGGTTAATATCCTGAGGGAATGGGAAGAAAAGCACAATGGACAAATGAGTTTAACTGGCATTAGGGAGCAGATAGAAACCAAATGTGATTTGGATTTGGTATAAAACTAATGAATTTGTTTTCTATTAATTTAACTCTGACTAAATCGCTACAACAATTGTCCAATTTCAATCCATTTCACTGCTCTTTTATAGATTTCAGTATGCTGTATGCAATCATAATGAAATGAAATCCTAATCCACTCTATCTTTTCCCTCAAAAGCACTCCCTCACTATGTGCCATTCAACGTGAAGTATTTAATGTAGACTGCAAGAGATTGGAGAGGGCCTTACATAAAACTGAAAGCAGTGAAATCTCACAGCCCATACATTTCACACCTAGCAACGTTTACTTAAACATCTCCCCTTCACCTCCCCGAGAGCTCCTTCTTTATACCCTTGCTCTCCCGCTCCCTCCCTCTCACACCCTCCAGCTCTTTCCTGTGTAATTAAGCAGCGTGGAAGGGTGGAGAGGTGACGAGGTCTCTGAAAGAAAGGCAAATGATCCCCATGTGTTTCATCTGAGGCTACTTCAGGCTGGGTCTCAGCTTTAACTGCAAATATTGTGGACACTGTTCCACAACCCTCTTATTAGCAGTGCGGAATATGAAGGCAGTACAAAGGTTATGGAAAAGGAGAATGCTTGCATAGACTTTGGAAGCAAATGCCACGTTGTTCTAAAGGCAAATTTAAGTGCACATGCTGTAGATTTACATGCAGGGATTGTCTGGGAATGTGAGGTGTGTGTAGCTCAGACAGAAAGAAATCTGGACTCCAGATTTGAGCATTGGCATATGAACAGAGAGACGTGATCTTCACTTGAGCATAAGAAGGATGGACTTCTATTTCAATGGCCTTTTCAGCACTTTAACTTGCTTTGTTGTTCTATAAGCTGAGGGTAAGGCTGTGTGATGTGGTTATATGCAAAGTTCAAATTATTAAAAAACTCAATTGTAAAAATATTTGTTATATTACATTTTGATACATTTTGTTTTTTTCAATATGATTTCACATAAAACAGTTTATTTTGCACTTAAGTTCCCAAAATGACGAAATACTGAGATTTTTAAGTATTTAATTCATACAAAAATATGCTTTACTGTGGTTGTTTCATATAGATGGTTTATTTATTGAAATACTAGAAAAATATAATTGTGATGTATCGTTATTGAGATGTCATTTTAATAGTATTTTTGGCCATATAGTCAAGCTCTCTTTAGTTTAGAGATAGCCTACATTTTGTAAATAATTTCCCTTTCTTTGTTAATTTAACTGTTTTTGATATTCATGTATTTCCAGGAAGTTAAATATAATCTATAGACTCTCCTTAAGCATACCATAAAGTATGTGTGCACGCAGAGTGTTCATTCACCCACATCACACTTTCATGGAGGCCTGCACAATGGCACGATGAACTTCAATAATACCATCTATTCTCACACCATGTTCACTAAAAAGCAAAGCATCCGTCCTGCCATGCGCGCTCTCATGTGTGCTCCAAAACCTATGATCTCATCTTTCACCGATGCGCGCCCCCTCCTCACCTTCAGCCCCCTGATCTCGTTCAAGTGCAGCTGGAGGCTGCGATTGACCTCTCGGATGAGATTCCCGTGGTCCAGAATCACGCTCATCTTGTCGGCCTCGGACCGCCTCAGCCGCCGCACCAGATCCTCCTTGCCCCACTTGAGCAGCTCCTCGTCGGTCAGGCCGGAGACGTCCTCCGCCGGACTTTCCGTCTTCGCTATCGACAGCTGGAGCTGAGGCTGGGGCGGCGGAGTTGCTTTCTCCATTGGCACGGCTCCTCCGGCACCGACAAAGAGCAGAAAATAGTCCGAGGCTCCTTGGCAACCTCTGCTCGCATCCGCTCCCTGGTCGACTTGAGATGTAAAACGGTTACCGGCAGAAAGTCAGTCGCATAGTTTGGCCTTTTTTGTTCAGTTCGCTCGCGACACTTCCACTCTCGGCTAGAGCAACAGCTGACGATGCCGGCTGAGCGCGATACAGTGGGAAAGCTGCTGTACTGTCTATCACTGCAACATCCTCACAGCCACATTACAGTGCTACAGTGCTTACAGTGTGAGTTATCGTCTCGGTTTTGTATCCAACATCGGTCCCAAATAAGTGAGAAAAGCTTCCGCGGACAGTGGATGCACACACCTGCCGCCTGTAGGTCCAGCACACTGGGAGGGAGAGAGGGGAGAGTCTGCTGTGCACGAAACATACAGAGAAAAAGAAGAGAGGGAAGAGCTCTCCCCCTTCTCACTCCCTCTCTAGCTCTCTCCCTCCAGGGGTTTATGCTCCACCAAAAGTACAGCTTGGTTACAGCGCCACTTAATGTTCACAGACAGTCTAAACAAGCTGTGCGAAATGCTGAGTTCACTTTCACTCTGTAGGCTGTTTTAAGTGCAAGTGGGAAAATGCAGTATTGTTGTAATGTGTTGACCAGGGAAACACTTATAGTATAAACCAAGACTTTAAAAACGTAGGTGCAGACTTTAACTTTAATTTCATAGCATATTTCTTTTTTGTGTTTTTCTTTTATAAACTAATACCCATTCCCAGATTGTAGGATAAAGTACATTTCAGTTGTTGTCTAACAGTGTTACAATGTTTTATAGTTTTTAAAGTTCAAACGATGGATTTTGCCATAAATATATAATAGGCAAGATATTCTCTTTAAAAGTGGTTTTGGTGCACACACACCAAAGTCCCAGTTAGTGAGCCAAGCCTTGAACGACGCACGACCATCAGTTTCCAGCAGTTATTCCAGCACCATGGACAGCTGTTAATGGGAGCAACAAGGCTTTGGCCTTCAGATATATACACACAGTAATTATGCTAACAACACACAGCAGTGTGTATGTGTAGGTTACCATTTGCTAATTTTTTCTGAAGGGATGTTATTACTGGGAGCAAGGGTGAGCAATAATTGTTAAGGCTGATAGGAGTAGTGATACAACCCCTGTTTAGTGAAAGATTTAAACGTGCCTCAACTGTGTGAAAGAATTATATGTGAGTTTGTCAAAGTAGGCTACTGGGTGTTTACTTTTGTTAAGCAACAAGTGCAAATCACAAAGCGTATCATATTTTTTAAGATGATGATATCGATTAATGAATGAGTTGTGCAGAGTTATGTGCAGTGAAGCTTTATTATTAAGTATGCCACTTAATCAAACCATACACTAAAGAAGGGTTTAGCATGAAGCCTCTTGTAAAAGAAAAAGAAAATTAGTTGTAGTAAAGTTTCTTTATGTTCTATTTCAGTAACATTCAAATTATTGCGTTAGAGTAAAACGTATGAGTATGACATTCTCTTCTTAGGGCCTACAGATTAGAAATAGACAATATAAATTATGCAGCTAAAAAAGGATACAAGATAGTAGGTCCACCTATGTGAAGACATTCACACAGTGAATAATTAACTTCAATCTGTAGCCTTGTGGTCGTTTGGGATTAATCACCTATCTAGTAGCCTACACGTAACCAAGACGCGAGATAGCAAAAAGCAAAAAAACGATCACAATGGTCTAATCACGCTTTATCAACAATGATAACTTCAACAAGCTCCTTGCATCGTTTCCGTTAGCGAATACTTTAAACTCAATTTCCCACAATTCCCCTCTTCCCATGCGCACGCAGAGCACGCCCTATTCACGTCACGGAGAGAACAGCCAATAGGAATAGCCTGAATTTGGAGTAACACGTCATTCTAGTAAAGTGCAGCAGGAGCCGGCTGACAGGGAGTGATCCCCTCACCATCGTCTTTCTGTCATTTACACCCGTCTGCTTTTATCTCCAAATGCTGTAATTTTCACCAAAAAAACCTGTTTGCTTTGCTCGTGTCTAGACCTGAGGCCAACCTAACATAAAAGGTACGTTTTTTACTTAAATTTGCTCGAAAGTAGGCCACCCGTTTCGGCTGCCATTCATGAAGGGACAGGAAGTGGGCTAATGCTACATTCTGTTAGCTAGCCCAAGCAGCGAAACGTTAGCTTGTTTGACTTACAGAGCAACGTAATAATGTAAGACATTAAAGGGTACCGTTATATTCATGTGGTTTCGATAACACCACGGTTACAATACTATAAATGATGTCAGAAACAGCGTAAGAGTGGATATTCTACACGAAAGAGACCAACCTCATTTGTGATTATACGTGGCCTGTAGCCTATGTTATTGCATTAAAGGCAATTACTATTTAAAAAAATAAAAATACGTTACAAAAATATCAATCATTTCTAAGATGTAATGAAATGTCAAGGTTTGCCTCTACCTATCCCTAGAAAGTGTAATGACAAATTGCCAAATACCCCCTGACAACGTCAACGTGCAACAGATATGGCAGGGCAAAGCTCACATTCTCTAAGAAAAACATTGAATACAGGGAAACTGACAGTAGTTGTTGATGATCTATTATGATTATATTGTGATATGTTGAGGGTCTTTTTCTGACCATAAGTCTAAAATGAACATCAAAACTCTCAAATGGAGAAGTTGAAACAGTACATTTTTGTCCTTGATTATTATATTACAGGGCTAATGCAAAACACTGTGGATGCATTTATGGCAATGGTCTTTAAAGCTAATGTGACTCGTCTCTTATTTTAGGTCAGACAACTGTGACCTGCAATGCCTTAATGTAACATTATATAATCTGGTGTGACGAGTTGATTACGTAAAAGAGATTATCAAGTTAGATTGCCAAATCTTTATCAAGGGAAAACTGCAAAGTGTCCCAGTTCCGTCTTGTGTGGTAGTACATTCAATGTTATCTGTCGTTGGACTGTTGATTAGACAAAACAAATGCTTTGAAGATGTCACATTGGAAATCTATAGAATTAACAATGGGGAGATAATTGTTGGTTCAATAGATCCTTTTAGAAATATTTTAGAATCAGAATGTGGTTTATTGCCAAGTAGGTTTTCACATATAATATAGTAGCTTTAAGGTAAAATGTTGCAAACACACTTAGAAGAAATAAGGAGAATTATTATGTAAAAATATTTCTAAAATCAAAAAAAGGTAAACAAGAAAAATTCATTTACAAAAAACGATATACAATTTGAAAAGCATATCTGCATTCACTTTGCAGCCTTGCCTAGTACACAGTTGTGTAACCTTTAGAAATATACATCATATTATATGTTCTGAAGTCTTAAGAGTTCTTGAGAGACTTAAAAGATTGGACCTTTTGTTTTGCCCCTTAAAAGCTAGCTGAAATGCTCTTGTTTTGCCCAGGGAACACAAAGTTCCTCTGGCGACAGTGAGAAAGAGGGCGAGTCGACAGTCACTACAGCAGCTTCTTGGTGACGCTTCTCTAAAGGCGTCATCGATATTTCACTGACACACGCCAACAAATATGTAGCCTAAAAATATCTTTGAGATTCCTCTGCGCTATTTTCCATCTTACGAAAAAACACGTTTGTCAAGTTTGCTGATGTCACACGTTACACTTCTGCGTCATGCTATCTTGAATCTCCATCTTATTTTAGCATGGGAGTGAAAGGAGCACCTGTATAAAGAGTGGCTCACTGTAGCAAGAGGTTAGACTAGCAGAAAGATCACCTGTAAAGAGCTGCTCACACACTGCAGACACTCAAAACAAGTGTCACTGGGACTACTGAGAGTTTCTCTATTGGACTTACACCTGACTAAGATCTATTGGGCTCTTTCCCTACTGAAGCTCTGCGATGGCGACCTACCAGGAGTTCATCCAACAGAACGAGGACAGGGATGGGGTGAGATTCAGCTGGAACCTGTGGCCCTCCAGCCGCCTGGAGGCCACCAGGCTCGTGGTGCCCGTCTCCTGCCTCTTCACACCGCTAAAGGAGAGGCCCGATTTACCGCCGGTCCAGTATGAGCCGGTGCTGTGCAGCCGGGCCAACTGCAAGGCCGTGCTCAACCCCCTATGGTGAGTGAAATGGAAAACATTGCAACAGATGGGAACTTTTTCAATGTTTGTTTCTGCTGCCAAGCATAAAGAACGGTCTTTATACAAACCGCATTGTGTATAATAAAGATAGTTTATATTCTATTTAATTCTTTATGATTATCAACCTTTAATTTGTAGATGTAGCTTTCTTTAATGCATGAAAATGGTATTTAACCTACTGTGCCACTGCCTTTTGTAGCTCTGTAACTATAAGTACATTCATTTATTATTGATCAACAGAAAATAATAATAATTGTAATATTTCTTGCAAAATCAGAGACTGCTATTTTCATTTTCCAACATTTTTTATTAACCTGAAAATGTTTTGGTTTTGGACTTATAAAACAAAACATTGAAAAACATGAATTTGGATTAGTAGTATTTGGGAATGGATTTTTCTTTTTCATTTTCTGACAATACATAGACCAAGCCAAGCACACCTTGGGAATAAAATAAATAAATAATTTAATCTATAAGAATGTTGGGCCAAGTATTGGATAATGAAAACAATCTTCAATCGTAGCCTTAGCCTAGTGAACACTATGTTTTTTTCATTGTAGTATTCCTTAAGTAAAAGAAAATGGGTTGCAGGGATATGAATTAGGTGTTTGAAACTTTGAATATATTTTACCACATCAGCGTTTCCAAATGCTGACGTGTTACAAATTCTAGGCGTGGTACTGCAAATACACCTTCACTATTTACTTAATATCATTCACAGCTGCACTCCTTCCAATTGGATGCAAGCCCTAAACTGTTTTGTTCTCTCCTTCACAGCCAAGTTGACTTCAGAGCCAAAATATGGGCGTGCAACTTCTGCTTTCAAAGGAACCCAGTAAGTGCTGACGTCCACAGCCTACTTTAATTAGATAACAATTGTTTCCATAACTCTGCGTAACATAGTAACATAGAGTAATGTGGACTAGCTGCATTCCTTTTATTCATGTGGTTCTGTCTTTGTCCCCGCAGTTCCCTCCCTCTTATGCAGGAATATCAGACGTGAACCAGCCGGCTGAACTCATGCCACAGTTCTCTACCATCGAGTACATAGTGCAGGTAAATATTACACATGTCTGCACTCTGACCCATGCATGCAGATTGTGTGTTCTCCAGGTGTTCCGTGCCAAGGGGAATAATAACAATTTCTGATATTGGCCTCTCTACGTGAAGAGTTTTCTTTTATGTCAACCACCCCCCCCCCCTTCAAGACACCATCTGCGGTCACCGAAGCCTGATAAGGATGCGTGTGTACAAAACGCAGCAAACTCTTACTGATATGTGCTGGGTCCAGGCTCAAGGGCATATGGCACTCTCAACTCTTTCCAGGACATGCCGGGGGCCCTGCCTGCCAGTAGCTTTGCTGATATCTGTGTTGATAGGTAATAGATTGAGAGCGGTGAATCAGCTTAGAAACAGGAAGCGCTCAAACTTTGTGAGTTTATCAAATTTAGCAGTGATTCCATGTCAGCCACAGCTTGCCACAAAAAATTGGACTGATGGTGTATTCAACAAACGTACACTAGCTTTATTAAATGTCAGGTCTTTGCCAGGAAAACGTTTTTAATCAATGATTTTATCACTAAGCACAATCTCGATTTTATATTTTTAACAGAAACTTGGATTGAACAAAATAACAGTGCAGCTGTTCTTATCCAATCAACACCTCCCAACTTCAGTTTTATGAGTCAGGAAAGAATGCATAAGAAAGGAGGTGGAGTTGCTATTGAGACTGCCAAGGCACACNTGGTTACGCGGCTGGCAATACATCAAACTTGCACACTCATTTGAAAAGGCATCACCCGAACGTAAATATCACCGGTACCAAAAGAAAAAAGACTGAAGTGCATATCCAACTCCCGCTAGCATTTAAGCCTCCACCACTCGCAAAAAGTTAAGACCAAGCCAAAGCTATTACAAACGCCAAATATCCTTATGTTGCCATGTTAGCAAAGCGCTACCTGGCTGTATCTGCTACCTCTGTCCCTAGCGAGAGGGTATTCTCCACAGCAGGAGACATTGTTAGTGCCAGCAGATCTGCCCTTTCGGCAAATAATGTGAACAAGTTAATTTTTCTTTAAAAAAACATGAAAATACAATGACAAGCAAGTCATAATGTCAAACTGGTTGCTTAGGTACTATTACAGTACAGTTCAAATACAGATTATTTCAGTTCAGCGAAATGCTGCACCTTAATGTTTATTGTATTATATTTTGTATTTATTTGAGTGAATATTCACAGTTTAATAATAATTAAAACCCCAAAACTAATAGTTTATGTTTTGTGAGTAGCCTACTAGTAAAGTTCAAATACAGATTATTTCAGTTCATCGAAATGCTGCACCTTAATGTTTATTTTATTATATTTTGTATTTATTTGAGTGAATACATTATTCACAGTTTAATAATAATAAAAAAAAAAAAAACGTATTTTATGTTTTGTGATAATTTGTTCTGCTGTACCGAAAACGTACCGAACCGAACCGTGACCTAAAAACCGAGGTACGTACCGAACCGAAATATTTGTGAACCGTTACACCCCTACTACTTATGTGAACAGACATTCTCAGTGATGAAGTATTTTCCTATTTGGCCCACTCCATAATTTCATATATTTATTGTAAGGGAACATTCTTATTCTTTTCATTACCAGTAACAGCTCATACAAATATGTAATATACTGTGTACTGCATTCTATAATGGGAGAAAATGTATATTGTGAAAAATGAAGTTCAACTTATTTTGATTCGGCCCCCCAACACAGCTCGAGTCTCTGAAGTGGCCCCTTGTAAAAAATAATTGCCCACCCCTGCCCTAGGCTCTGGAACCCTCTGCCCCTCCATGTGAGGTCGGCCAGGACCCTAGGGTTTTTTTAATCTACATGTACTCTTAAAACACACTTCTTCTCCCTGGCCTTTTAGTCAGAGCGGAGCACGGCTCCTGACTTTTCCCTGTGTTTTTTATATATCTGTTGTAATTTATTGTCTTTTATTATGATTGTAGTAATGTGTTTTTATGTGATTGTAGTATTTATTACATGTACAGCACTTTGGCCCGACCAAAAATCGCTTTTAAATGTGCTTTATAAATAAACTTTGATTTGATTTGATTATTGAGTTTACACGTTAACGTCACAGTCATATCTGAAGAACGAACCCAAACCTTGTTATTTGTATTACCAAATTGGTATCAAATAAATAGTAAGCATTGGTAATACCAATGCTGATGAAGTAAACTATTTTGTTTGAGTATTTGTGTCTGGGAGAAGGTACTGTACCAAGTTCCTGTGTTCGGCAGTTATAGACTGGGCTTTCTTGTAAAAGAGAGTACAACAACAACAACAACAAAAATCAATATGGACCATTACTGTATAATTATCCTTAACCTGTTAAAGAGCAACTTCCAGGTTAAAGACACCTGTGAATAAATGTTTAGGAAAATGATGAATACACTAGATTTAAAAAAATAATATACAGAAATATACACCACAGTGACATCTGGCGTCGTTTTTGTAAGAAATGTTCACTTCCGCATAAAAAAGCCTCGGCACGTGACCTCCCGCGTGTGACGTAACACGGGGGACACAAGGGGCGGAGCGGCCGGTGTAACGTATTAATAAACATGGATCCCAATGCTAGTTTCGACAAGAAGAAGTTGAACATGAATATTCGAATGCATATGACGGACCACAACCTTATAATTATGAGCCTGCTAGGCGTCCAAGAGACCAGGAGCAGCCAAGGATTAGAAGAAATAATGGCCATCGGAGAGAAATTGAGCTGTGGTGTCAGGAGAACCAGTGGAGAACTGGGCAGCTATCTTGGAGAGTGACCGGCGGCGTTAGTACAGTGTTAGCTAACGTCACATCACAACATTGTAAAGTTAGCTATCATATATCAGGCTATAACTAAAGTAGCATTGATAATATAGTCACGTTACTGGCAGGACTGTTGATACTGATCCATAACAGAAACTAATGCGCAAGTATCAGCCGTATCTCGCGTTACCTAATGCAACTCCACACTACGGTGCTGTGTACCGGAGGAGAGACGCGAGATACGGCTGATACTTGACGATCTGGCGGACCGGTACACAGCACCGTAGTGTGGAGTTGCATTAGGTAACGCGAGATACGGCTGATANCCGGGAAGTGAAGCGACAGAAGGGTATGATGACGGTGGACGGTGGATCAGACAACGGTAACACGGACTTTAAACGACCTAACTGCTGGTCTCTAAACAGATGAGCGTGTTGCTCCACCGATCCCTCTTGCTGCACACACCTTTCCCTTCCTGCTCCGTCTAATTAAATAGGGGAAAAAGGAAATGGAGGCGCCAACCAACAGCGAATCCCTGGCTGGGTGGGCGTTACCGTGAGTGACTACCGGTCCCATAAAAACCCCGGTTGTTACAGCGCGCCAGACACGCCCACCGGCAAGCTTCAACGCGACGGAACCGTGTGGACGCACCGTTTGACTTTTGTGGAGGATTTTCACAAAATGTTTTGATGTCATTTCAGCCAATCTTTATTATTATAGCAGCCCGTTCTGTGTATTGTAGTTATATTGTACAGAGAATGGACAACAGATAATACCCACTGTACCTGAGCTTTATGAAATCAACTTTAATAACACTGAGGTAGAATAACTTTATAACTTCACATGAATTACCTAAAGGGAGGGGACCATGTGATGTTGTTGTGGTTACAAGGACAGACAAAGACATGCATATTAAGATCATTTAATTCACTAAGAAGGAAATGGAAATAGTCTTTTGCTTTTTGAAGTCAGCCGGGTGATTAAACAACCTAATTCGGAGAAACTATGGGTAGTATCGTGGATCAAAGTTCTGTTTTACCCCTCACTTCTCCATTTAAGTGGAGTTTGTTGTCACTTTTAAAGACATGAAAAGCTCCTAATGTTCCCAAATCTCAGCTGTTTTCTTGAGTATAATATTACCTACACCATTTCAAAAGATGGTCAAAACCAATCGTCGATATCACCGAGTTACACTGGGATTGATTTCTTCCCTGTCTTGTCCTTGGTCCCTGTTAACCCTCCTGTCTCCTGTCTTCAGATCAGACGGTGAAGCTGTCCTTACCGAGGGCCTCCAGCCTGAACGAGAACGTGGACCACAGCGCTCTGCTCAAACTGGGAGCTGTGGTCTCAGAGAGGGTCAACCGCTTCGACTCTAAACCCGGCGCAGAGGCGGGGGGGTTCTCCAAACTCCAGGAGACCAGAAGGATCTTCGAGCAGCGGACTCTACAGGTGAGAGGAGTATTTGTGTTCAATTCAAGACCATCTGACTGACTGTACTAGAGAGTGGTGCAGGGATGAGTGCTAAAACTGTGAAACTGGTAATGTTATCACTTCCTGTTCCCTGGTCTGGAAGTCAATGGTTTTCTGGATGTGTTATTGGTTGTTAACACAAGCTGAAGAGATTAAATACCCCCCAGTGGTGGATTTAAAAAAGGCGGTTCCTAACAAGTGATGTCGACTGCCGGATTTGTTGGGGACAATTCACGCTAGGGCTGCACGATATTGGAAAAAACTGACATTGCGATTTTCTTTCCCCTGCGATATATATTACGATATGAAAACATACAGGAATTGAAGAAAAGACCGTTTTTTTCCCCGCAAACCATCCTTTCTTGAACTGTAATGCTATACAATTGGTATTTTTCTAACTATATTCAACCGGATGAAGGATTTTAGTCACGGACGTCTGGATCATAAGTTATCAGAGCAACAAGCTGAGCTAGCTCGGTTAGCAGCGCCAAACTGCCCTGGAGAAACACATGAAAATACTTTATTCAGTGTTTTTACCTTTAATCACCGGGTCGGTTTCAGTGTTAATTTCATCAACGAAAACTATGATGAAAAATGTTCGTCAACGACCTTTTTTACATGACTAAGACAAGATGATGACGAGCTAAAAATAGATTCTTGATAACGAAAACTATGACGAAATGTATATTTAGTTTTCGTTGACGAGACGGGACTAAGGTGTTAATGGTGGACTACCGGACATTCAAAATGCAGCATATTTTCCCCCAAGTGTCCGTCTTGTCTGTCAAAATGCATCTTACGTTTCTAACTTGCAATATCATTATTTCCGCTCTCTAAACTCCAGAAGAGCGATCTCCCTGTGTCTCTGTGTGCGGGGGCGGGGCCTAACAGACATGCTGCAGCGG